GATTTAATCATTTGGACTTTCATGTAATTTCTTACAAAGTGTTGGTGGCTATTTTGAGACACTTACCAGATGTACTTTGTTCTGGAAGGTTTCCTAAGTTAAGCAGCTCTTTAATAGTGTTCTGTTCCTCATCAGTGCCAAGTTCAGTGTTCAGGATAACCAAATCTCGTCCCCTGCAAATGTGAGACACGAACGTTTCAGAACAGGAAGTAATAATAAATCAGGAAACAAACTCCCAAGATCCGAACTCACATCGCGACGGCTAAAATTGGAAAGTCGGAAAGAGGATTCCAAGCCACACACTTAACAGCTTCATCAAACTGCCAGGTCTTAAGACATCTACCAGTTTCCACTTCCCATATACGAACAGATCCATCGGTCGAACCTTTAAAGAAAAGGAGGGAATACAAGATTGGCATCTTGCAGACAAAAGAGAGATCAATAAAAGTGAATAAAAACACATAGACTAAATACCTGAGGCAATCCACTGGCCAGAAGATTCAGTGGATATGGAAGTAACAGGTCCGGTATGGCCTTTATATTCAAGATAACAGGAGTTTGGATAAGGTCTAAGATCCTTCCTACTCGGTAGTTTAGGCTTCAAAGATTCAGGATCGATGTTTATCTGGGGAAAGAAAACACACTGTCAGTTTAAAGACAGAAGAAAAACAAATAAAACAGAAATGTGATGATCAAATAAGTCCTCACTCTCTTCTTTCGAACTCTCGGGCATAGGTATAGATCCAAACAACGTTCAAAGGACTCCTTTAGTGCATTCTCATATGCTGGGATGCTTCTCAGAGATGTAAACCTATGCACAAATATATTTATCATAAGGCTTAAAGCTAACATATATCAAAGAAAGTATATCAGAGTGGATTAAGCAATACTTTTACATACCTTTTAGGAATGAATTTTGGACGATCTTCCTCAAACATCAATTCATAAGAGGCTTTCTCTTCCTCTGTTGGAATGTATTCCAGAGAAGGATTGTACGATTCCTCGTGTCCTGGAAAACCAAATTGTACAAATTAAAAGCTTCGAAAAATGGAATTCCCAGAGAGAAGCAGAGAAATAGATGATCAGTGAAAAGTTTGCACCTGGCAATTTGAGTTTTGGTGGAGGAATATAAGTTAAGTGCTTGCTCTTCTGATCTAAAGTTGAATCATCACCCCATAAATGGTATACACTGGGCTCTTCTTCAGGCTTATCAAACTTGATCCACCCCTTCCTGATTGCTCTAACATACTTAACAACCTTTTTGGCTTCCCATTTTGACGGGATGAACCTTCGCTTAGGTTCTGGTGCACTTGAGAGTGGATGTATTGCATCGTCCCATTTGAACCAATCGACATAAGGCTGGCACCACGGAAATCAATCAAAAAGTCACCTTTTGAAGTGAATGGTATAATATTATTAGAAAACGGCTACACATAAACCATATACGTACCGCATATGGATCAAAGTCAGCATGTGGAGCTTCCCCTCTAAGCATTCTACGAATGAGCTTGCTCTCCTCTTTAGTCAGCTCCACTTCCTCGTCATTATACTCATCATAAATTTTACGCCTAAACCACCCACAAAATCGTATCAGCATAACGCTACAAACAAACTACAAACCAAATAAACAGAAAAATCTTCAAAACTGACCAATTCTTCGAGTCATCCATAGTCGCAAGAAAAGAGTCTAGTTTGTCTTGTTTCTCCTTTTTAGTAATCTTCTTCCCAGTAATATCATAACCAATATGTTTCTCATCTTTATACCACTCCAATGGAACATCCCCAACTGTATTTCTAGGAGCAACCTAAATAATCAAAGACAAATATATAATTCCACCTGAAAAAAAAAAATGAAAGACAGAGAGTTTCAATTCTAAAACAAATAGAAAAAAAGCATCAACCTCATCTTCCGAAGAATCACTCTCTTCGACAACTTCGCCTTGCTCAGAATCTTCATCAATCCCATCTTCCTCACCATTTTCACTATCTACTTGTTCATTTTCCTCATCATTATCATCTAATCCCTCATGTCCTGCACCAATAGACTCCCACAAGTTACTATCTTTACTTGAATTTATTAACTCAACAAGAGCATGAACCCTAAAACCTCAAATTGAAAAATCAACTAAAGCAGAGGTTTTTATTACCATGGACCTTGTCTTCGGACGATTCTCCATCTCCATCTTCTGTCTCTCTCTGTGAACCATCATCCTCGGAATCGAACATATCGGAGTCGAAATCATCAGAATTCAAAGACCCACACAAGCTCT